AGGGGGCAGTGATGAACCCCAGACTTACTTGCTAAGAAGAATGCAAGACCCAATTGGCTGTTAGCTCTACTTCTGGTCAAGGGATGCATACATTTAGTCTCATACTAATGGGATTACACCACCCCAAAGAGGAACTCTCCAATGGCATGTGACTGGGAAACCACGAGTTCTCCCACTCCACTAGATGAAAATGGGAAGAAGGAAGACACACTGGAGAGATGCATAGACTGAATAGGGATCATCTCATCTACAAAAGGTTCTAAACTGAGAGAAAAGGAAGTGCTAGCCAAGTATGAGGGCAAATACCTCACCTGTTTCTGTCTTTTTTTTTTATTGATGAAAAAACAATATGGCTTGGAAGATAATATAAAAACTGCTGAAGCAATCTTGCAGCAAACCCCATCTTAACAGCAGGCACTGGGCAGAAAAATATAAGTATAACATTATCTGTTATCCCCTTCTCGATGCAGATTTCAAGAGAGAGAGAGAGAGAGAGAGAAAGTATTTCCTGCAAGGCAATCCACAAGGTTGGTTTTATCATCTCCATTATACAGATAATAAGGTGGTTCAAGGAGGTGCAAAAAATAAAAACATATAATCAAAAACTCATCTCCTTAGAGTCTTGGAGCAGATCAGAAAATGGCAACTGGAGGGAAACAAAAATGAGAGGCAGGTGAAACTGCAATATGGTAGATGTAATATGAAACAAAAGTCTAGATGTAAGAAAACCTGTGAGATGACATTAGAAAAACTAAAGGTGTCATCTCTGATAGAAAAATAAACAAGTGAAATGAGTTGTTTAATCCAACTAGTCAAAATGAAAGGAGATATATCATGAGAAAAAGAAGAATTCCATGGCAAAAAAAAACAATGTTGAGTGCTCCAAAAGGAAGCAATATCAGCAAAGTAGCATCAAACTGTCCAAACAGGACAAAGGAGACATTCAGGGTTGAAATGATCATACAGATAAGAAAGGGGAGGAAGGATGACTGGTAGAAACATGTGATTAACCTCCTGGGCAGTTCAAGTCTTGAAATGGAAGAAGCAGTCTGGAATAAAACCAACCTGTTCCTGTGAGATGAGCAAGAGTCACATAACTTGTAAGAAGAGGGTGTTGAATGGTCCAATGACAAACCATCCATTTTTTTAACAAAATACAAGGGTAAATGACTGACAAGAGAGGAGAAGAAAGCAAGCAATTCTGTGAGAAAATCCTGTCAATTTTACAAGGAGTCAGACAAAATTCACATGTAAACTCATCTCCTTAGAGCCTTGGTGCAGACTGGAGAATGGCGACTGGAGGGAAACAAAAACGAGAGGCAGGTGAAACTGCAATATGGTATATGTAATGTAAAACAAAGGTGATGGGGATTGTTCACATTGAAATGCCATGGTGAAATATAGACATCCAAGACTGGCATAAAAGAGACCTCCAAAATAGAAGAGTAAGATGCTTCTTGGACATAATATGCGAAGAAGTGGAAACCACAATTAAGCAGGCCAATGAAAAGAACTTGGCAAGGAGTGTCACAAATAGGAAACAGCACCTTGGGAATAAGTCAAAGAGGAGGATAGGCATAAACAAAGAGACTGATCTAATCTTGCTTCAGTGCTTCCACAGCCAAAGCTGAACAACCAATGCTGATGTAAGAAATGACAGTGAAGTTATCTGAATGGATCATGACAAGGTGACCAGATGGAAGAGACAGAAGATTATGGCCAGAGACCAATGATGGGGATTAGTAGGGGTGTGTTTGAAAGGAACAAGGGTCTCAAACGAAATGGGAGTCCCCAAAAGAGATGAACAAGACATGAGAGCTATGATAACCAGAAGCACTATTCTTGAAGACATAGAGGAGAAGGCTGAGCCTGTCTGCATTCAAACTAAGAAAGTCAGTCTTAACCATCACTTGCTATCTGATTCACTTGGGAGTGTATGAAATTTGACCAGCCAACTCCTGAAGGAGAGAGGAGGATGCTTAATTGGATGAGTGAATAAGGAGCCAATTGTCCATATAGTAATGGAATGAACTACAGGTCCAACAAATGCATCCTTCATCTGAAAGCCCTCAGGAGCCAAATGAAAATATGTGGGGCCACAGCCAAGAGAAGGGCTCTGAACTGAAGAATCCAACAGTCATGGACAAATCCAAGTAAACAAAGAGTAGATGGGCAAATAAGAATGTAGAAAAAAAAAAAGCATTCAAAACACCACTCTTGGTCATCCACAGCCTGGAAAAAAGCACCCACCTCAGTAAAAACCTTCGTCCATCTTTAAACAAGGGATGAGAAGAAACTAATCCAAGGACAATAGATTTATGAAAAGTTACCAATCTTTCATTTTCTGGGAATGACAAAGAGATGGGAGTAAAACCTTGGGATGGAGTCTAGAACCTATAGCACTCATTATCTCATCTATCAAATGATGTATTGTATAACATTATGTTCTGAACAGTTAAATGCCAATTTCACTCAGAGTACCAACTTTGTTCCCATGAGAAGGTTAACAACTAACTTGGATGAATTTGTAATGACTCTTGTTGCACAGTTAGAAAGCCTGAAAAATTTTGAGAGGTAAGGGAATTCATCTACTTTTTGCATGTTATTAGTCTATAATCTTTGGTGCACTATTTAACTATTGCCCCGGGTACCTTATACTGCGCACAACATAAGGTTTGAGTGTCTTACATTAAACATTTTATGAAACTACTTTATGTTTATGTTATACCCATTATAATAGCATAAAATCTGAGCTAATAATCCATATTTTAATAGTATACCAGTTTTAAGTTTTTAATTCTACAAGGCAATATTTAAAAAAAATCCTGAATTTCCACGTGTGACCCACATAACAGATTTTGTCTTAGCATGTCATCATTCCTACTTTATCAACCACCTCCCGAAGAAGTACGAATTTAAATGTAAAAATACTCTATAAAATCCTTATTGCTCAAACAAACCATAATTTTAATTGCCTTCAATTTGTTTTGTTAAAGTTATCAAATTGAAAATCAGACCCCTCCTGCCACATCCTCGTTCACAATTCGTTGATAGTTCTCTCTTAAATTGTATTACATCTTACCTATAACCAATAGAAAGTCAAGGTTTTCATCCATCAAATGACGTATTGTATAATGTTGTATTCTGAAAAGAATACATGGTTAGAAAATTTTGAGAGATAAGTGAATTTGTCTATTTTTCT